TTAAACGGTAAGGTTTGTCTTATATTCTTATTTGTTTATTCAGTGGAAAATAATCGTAGAGACAGGAAATTTAACTAAATAGATACTTATATAATTATATTCTCGTATATACTATATACAGCTATTTCCAGACGTGGTGCGATTTTTAAACATTCTGGAAATTTGTCCAGTTATTTATGGCTATTTGTCATTTTTGGTTTTACCTGATTAAAATTGTTTTGACCCAGATGATTAATGATTAATGCTCATATTTAAATACACCATTATCATGAGTTGCCATTAGTGAAAAAAGATAAGCGTAATGTAGTGATTTGTTTTTATAAACACTTAAAGTTCAAATTTTAATAAAAAATGCAAAATATGTATCATGTCATCAGTGGTGTTTCCAGGGACTATTCAAGTGGGAGGATTTTCATTTTATTGAAAATGTATAAATAGATGTTATACATAGACAATATTGTAGAACATAAGAATACTACGTAAAAAAAAGACGAATATACTTCGCACGTAGGTGGACTACTGTTGTGGTGAGAAGTTAGGAAGATAGTAGGGAAATTTAATGTTTATCTGTACGCAACGATTAACCATTGGTAACGAAAAAACAATTCTGAGTGGAGTTCGGTTGATAGTGTTGCTTTGCATATACAAGTATATGTCATATTATGGTAAAATAATTAGATATATATGCAATATATATTTTCTTTATTAATATTTGAATTGTTTAATATTATACCTATTTTGCCATTTTTTCTTTCATAAGGGAAAACTCCTGGAAAAATCAAAAAAAGCCAAATGGACTTCGTAAAGTATCACTCCAGTCAGATTTATTTTCAGAAAAAGTGCCATCATTGGAAATCTGAGCAAAATTGCTGGTAGAAAAGTTGTCAACAGAAAAAAATAAATCAACTTTTAAAACCAATTTCGCACCACTCAGAATCTAAAACAAATATACTTAGTATGATGGATGGGCCACTGTTGTAGGTGAAAAGTTGGTAAGGTAGGATATAGAGGGAAATTTGATTTATATCTGTATGTAACGATAAACCATGACTAACGAAAACGATTCAGAGCGAAATTTCTTTTATACAAGCGTACGTACATTTTCCCGTTTTTCCGATTATTATGAAAACTACATAGAAAATCAAAAAATGACCTCCCTAGAGTATCAAGTAGATAAAATTTCACTTTAAAAAAGATTCTAGTAGAAAAATGGTTCGCAGTTAAAAAAAAAGTGTTTCCATCAGTGCTTGACTTTGGAAAAAGTAGTAGAGGTACTCTAGCTATTTAACTATAACTATCTAGCTATTTTACTCCTAGCATTTTAACATCCTTCATATTACCGCGAGGGGCTTCGCCCTCCGCATCCCTTTTACAGTCCCCTAAAAAACATTAATAGAAAATCATTAAACACATATCACAAAACAAAATAATATAATATATGTTTAGGTATAACTTGTCTTTTTTTAAAACCAACATTAAAATGTACAAAACAATTACAAATCTTTTTTTTTGTACAAATTATCATTTTCGAAATCAATCAGATTCGAAGAGTAGTGAGATATATTGGTTTTACTTTGATGGGTTTTTTTTTTATTTATTTATTTTGATTTCTGAGATACCAACTTTTCTACTAGAAATATCGTTTCGATGTATTAAGTGTAGCACCGTTTAACTTTTTAACCTTTTAACTTTTAACCTTTTAGCACTAATTTAAAATAAGTAATAACATTTTTTATTGGCATTAGTTCAATAAAACTGAATAACAAGTTTTGAAAGCCCTGTCCCCGGTGATCCACTAGGAAAAAATAGAAGGGGTACGCTAAACAAATTTTAAAAAAGAAGAAGTACTTCGCTCTCCCCCACTTCAAGCATTTTCCTTGCATTCCACTTCATCCCGATAGTAGAAGTACGCTAAAATATTTGATAAATTAGTTGAGGTCCACCTGTGTCCCACCGATTCAAACACTGCCCCCAAGTATACTAAAAATACATTGTCTACAGCGATATCGATCTTTAAATCCAGGCCATGTATAAAGGTTTTTAAAAGTTTTTTTGGATAATTTATATACACTTGTAATATGTTTTAAAATTGACTTCAGTATCATTGTATCTTGCCTTTTATACGTTATAAATATACCTAAACGGTTGTCAAATGAGAAAAGGGAGTAATTTACCCTTTTGCTTCTCTCTCTTGTATTCACCACTCTTGAAGAACAGATAAAAAGAGTTAGTCATAAAGTTTATATATTATGTCTAATAAAGCATTGTTTTTAATATACTTTTATCTGTAAGTAAAGATTCAATACCTACTCATTTAAATAAAGAAACCTTCAAAATATTGATGCTTAATACAGACATAAACTATTATATGCCTTTAGAGTAAGTTTATAGTGAAGAACCTGTATGTCCGTCTCTTATTTTAGTTGCGATTTAATTAAAAATATTCATAGTGCGTTGAAATTTGAAGGATAAATTATGTTTTCGTTTTCTAGATATGGTAACAATTTCAAAATATTTTACCAATTTTTGTGTTCTTCATAGGTATTATATATTAATTGCGAGTTTTTCACGTAGTTTTCATTTGGTAGATACTAAGTAAATATAATTATTTGACAAAACAGAAATGTTTCATGCTTGATAATTTAATAGGTTCATAATAAATTATTGCACAAAATGGTAAAAAAAAAGAAAAAAAAAAGTGTAATGTAGTTATTTTTTTTTTATAAAACAGTTGAGTTCATATTTTTACAAAATTCGTAAAAATTACATCATTTCATAACATGTATAACCGAACTTCTCTCTGAATTACAGGCGTATATTTTCTAGTTCTAAAATTCTGGAGGGGTACGTAGCATCGAGATCACCCAAAAGCTTACAAATCCGTGAAAGCCTCATCCCCATTTCCCCTACTATCCCAAGAGCTATTTCAATTGAGCGTTCTGTTATTTTCACATATTATTATATCATTTTTATTCATAACAAAATGATTTACTACCTACTATATCTAATAAATATTTGTTCAAATTACTGATAGTGAAAGCATTTATTAATATATTTTAATCTATATATACATATAATAATGAATGCATATTTTCGTTGGTACCTAAGCGCATAACTTGAAAACGGATGGACCGATTTGGCAGGTTTTATTTATTGTTGTGTTCATAATTGTCAGGGCAAGGTTTTAACGAAAGAAATTTTTTGAAAAATTTGAAATTCATAATACTTTTTTTAAATTTCATCCGTATTATCAAGATTACTTGTAAATCAACAAAAATAATTTAATAATTGAAGTTCAGTTCTGTTGTCACTTGTTTCCATAAAAATAACAAATTTATATAAATGAAAATGAAGGTTTGTATGAAAGAAAATGTTTAGAAAATCTACCAGAAAGCTTGTGTATTTTTTTTAACGAGTAGGTAATCTCCAAAACTACTGGACCAATTTTATGTATGATTTTTTTACTGAATGGTCCGAGAAGTCCAGAGAAAGTTTAAAGCTTTTTAAATCCTCGATTTGATTAATAGTCTACAAATAGTAGACTTAACCTACAGTAGTTTGGACTGAATTCAAAAAAATAATTTATAGATGTTTTTAATTACTTAGCAACCATATAACTAATTCGTATAAGTTTGAAAAGAATATTAAAGAAAATTAATTTCTAAAAATTTAAGTGTAACAACGGTAAACTGTATATAAAAATGATACAGGGATTGAAACAGGGAATCCAGGGACAAATAATTGGATGAACAGATTTTTACAGCTATTGAAACTTTTAATCCGTTAAATAGAAAAAAAGTTAGGGGCTCTTAACTCAAATCTATCACTGTACCTATATGTTGGCACAGTGGCATTCACAAGATATGTTCCGTCTAAACTGTCTCAGATTCAAGCTCAAAAATATTCATACAATCTTTTTTTACTTTTCATTTTACAAACGTTACGTTACTACGGTATCATGCGACCTTACCACAGAGGTTATAAACTAACTTTTTCATTGCTTAGCAACCATATACTTAACTAATTCATAAAAGTTTGAACAGAAAATGTATTTTTTAAATTTAAGTGAAACAACGGTTAATTTCTGTGATAGTGGCGGGGATTAAACAGGAAATCTAGGGGGAAAACATTTTCATTACACATTTGGTCCCAGCAACGTCGGGCAGGACAGCTTATAGTATTTATAGTATAGTTTTTGTAAAATTAATGTTATCTATGTTATCTATCTGTAACACATACTCTAATAAGTAAGTATCTAATATAGTCAAATCTCCATTTAAGTAAATGTAAATGCTTAATTTTGTATTATCTCATATAAATTTAAATTTAATAATATTTAACTTATGACCACAATATTATTGTCAATACAAAACATATAAGCAATGGCGTGGCGAAGTGAAATATTTTATCGGGCAATTCATTTTTTTTTAATGACTTACCACCACCCCTCGACTCTTAGGCATTGATCATTATCATTACCCATGAATAAACTAAAATGATAGTGCTTTAAATTGCCATATTCCTTGTTGTTTTTTACAGTATTCTGGGCTGATGGCTTTTCCTAGAATACTTATTATTAATTTTATTATTCTTATTTAATATCATATGACATATTCTGATGAAGTTAATCTTATACTACAATTTCTCCACAGACTCCAGTACTCTACCACCAGGCACCCACCCACCCACCACTTAAAATTATCGGGCAATTGCCCCTCAAAATCACGGCCAACACGCCACTGCATATAAGTACTAAATTTATTTACAATGTGAGCAGATGCGATTTATGTTCTGGAATAAAGGTAAGAAAATTTGTATGAAATACATAGATAATATAAACATGGATTGGACATAACAGCTATCTCTTACATTTTAGAATAAAATATAATACTGACTACAGTTAATAATATTGGGGTGCTAACTCCTAAGCACCCCTAGCCTCCCCACTAAACATGTCAATGCCCAGAATTGTTTTTCATGAGCAATGGTCTATCGTAGCTCACGGTTGATAAATTAAATAACTTTATGTATCCTACCTTCCCAACTTCCCACCTATAAGAGTGGCGCACCCATCTGCAGTATCAGCTCTTTTTATTTTTCAATCTTGGTTTTTCGTGAACATGATGAATGTTACTTGATATATTATAGTTTTGTAAACTGCAATTCATTAACAACACTGGTTTACGAAAACAGAAAAATATTCCTTATATAATTATTTTATAAGGAAATATTCAAACTAGTAGAAAGAAGTAGACAGTAGTAACTAGTAAGTAGAAGGTAGTTACTATTTATACCATATTAGTATATTACTATTACTACTAAGTACAAATTATAAAATATATAGTACATACCTGTCTTATCACCATGTTATCACACATAATCAAAAATAATTAAATAATTTTATTGGCTATTGATAATCATATCAAAAACTGTAAGCATCATCAAAAAATGTTATTTGATAAAACCAACTAAAATGTCTGCCAACGTTGGGATTGTTGAATACATAATATACAATTAAACGTGTACTTAGTTTTGGTAAAATGTCGCGGACTTTAATTTGCATTGTTTGAAGTGATGTTTTTAATTTAAATACATGAAAAAATGATTACTACAATCCATACAAATAAGCAATAGCCGAGTACAACAAAAACAATTGACGAACAAATCATTTTTGACGAGTAGGTAATAAATTATAAGGTAAAATTTACTTGAATCGTATTATTGTTAATCGTTCAACCGACTAACAGCTTTTGACTCTGTTCGTCGTTGTATGATATTACTTTATAGACACCGTCGGTGTTTAAAACCATCATGCATTTTTAATTATTTGAGATGATTGTTATTTCCTTAAGTACATAGTATGACTAAACGACTAAACCCCTTTTATAACACAAATGTTTCAAATTACTTACATAATATTAATTATTTTTCGTTTGAATTCAAATTACCTAATTTATAAACATAATATAATTCTTATACTATTATTTTATTGATGTTTCAAGGTTGTAACCATAAGTTATTAAAACTCAGTAATTTATTAAACTAAAATTAAAACAAATTTTTAATTTGAATGGCCCATTATTAACGTGACCATATATGCCGTTTTTGGTGGGACAGTCACACGTTTGAGCTATGTGTCCCGCTGTCTCCGAATAACTCATAAAATGCCCCTCCTTGAAAGTAATGTGATTGTGGAAATGCATTCTATCGAAAAGGGGATATTGCAGCACAACTTTGCCTGACAAAATGTAAAATATATTTAATAACATTTTACAGTTGAGCCATTTTAGTAATTTGCTTATGGGTTATTGAAATTTCAAAAAATCTGGGTAATTAAATTTTAAATAGAATTAATATCATTATATGAAAATATATACAAATTTTGGATACTGTGTTTCATGATTCAATAGCAGAAAACAATACCTACTAGTTAGAGGTCTGCTGATTCAAAAAATATAGAAAACAAGCTACTCTCCCAGTATTGGATTAGCTCTTTTTCATTTTCTTATTTTTAATAAATAAATATAGTATAATATGTATTATATTTATTAAATCTATTATTTAATTTATTATTGAATAATTTGTTTTATTACATTCTACTGTATTTTACAATATTTGTACAGTTATGTTAGAAGAATAATAAAAATTGCTGTGCTTTTCTGTTGAAATGTGCAGTTGTCCCGCTCTAAAGGAAAAAATTATGGTTTCGTTACCCATGATTCATATCAAAGTATTATAACAACACTATATAAAACTTAAATTTATGAACAATTTACTGTCAATAAAGAGATGTTCAGGGCAGACAATTTTTTTATAAACCGGATACTGAGAATTGGCCAAATAATAATATTAATACAAACCGGATACTAAGTATTATCTAAGTAATAGATAATGTTATTACAAAACTGGATACATATCATTACACAATTTTTGAACTATAAGTAAAAACTGAATAAATCATCATTATATTCATTAGTTAAAATAAACAATTATTATGAATATTATATTATAAACTATATATAAATTCTCAGAATATAATGAAAATAAGCATATAAATAAATTATGCCTACTGTAGGAATATATTTTTTGTTATATTAATAAATATATAAATATATATACATACTTATATATTTACAAATAGTATTTTGTATTTCCTCCGGTATCTGGGTATTGGTCTGGTAAAAATGTATTATTACGCCGGGTATTGGGTAGGAGTTGAGTCCTAAATATGATATATTATTGTCATTACTGGATACCTGGAAAATCGCTAGTTAACAATAATTATATCTATTAAATGCCAATCATATAATTAGGGATGTACCTAAATAAATTTTAGTAAATTGTAAAATTAATTAATCATTTTCTGAAAGTATATTATGAATTTGAAATGGATGTCGTGTAAAATATCTAAATGGTTAAAAAGAATGATTATTTAAGTCCTTTAACATTTATTATAATTAACAGTAGTTATCTTTGTATTAATATATTTTACTTTGATAATAATTTTGTTTGGAAGTAATTAAGGGTGGTGTAAGTTCAGGTTCATTTTATATGTAAAAATAATAAATGTTAGATTCGAAGTTGATCACAGAAATATAAGAACATATATGAATAGTATTAAATACAATTTTAGATTAGACCCTTGATTATGTTTTTAAACTAATAACCAATTTTATTTCAACGAAAAGAGGCAGCTTTTAAATTTTAAAGTCATCTTAATAAATCTCTAATGACTGCTCATAAATTATATTTAGCCCCTAAAATTCTAGAGTGGATTATACGATAAGATCATAATATATTATAATGTCTACTTGTAAAAACTAATTCCGACCCTACCTACTTAAATAATATTTTTAATGTTAAATGAAACTAGGTAGTTGAATAATTTTTATATAATAGTTCAATAAAAACATGTAAAACTTCTTATAAAATATTATGATGTAATTATTAAACTTAGGTTAGATGTATTTCACATTACTACACTTTACTAAGGACCTATCCATTTAAAGAATGTAAATAGTATCAATTTGTATAGTAAATTAACATGTTTTTTTTTTATTTTTGTTTTTACAGAGTTTAATTATCAAATCTGAAATCATACACTTAAATTGAATATGGATGTAAAATTGATTTTAAGCATAATTTTGATGCTATCAGTTCCACTTGTAACACCAATTCGGTGGTTCATGCATCCAAATACACAAAAATGTTTACGAGAAGAACTTAGACAAAATGTGTTAGTAAAAGGTGATTATGAGATTGTTCCGATTGAAAATCAGTTTATGGATTACGTGGTAAGGGATTCTAAAGGACATATTCTAGCTAATAAACAGGATATTACAAAAGGAAAGTTTACATTTAGTACTGAAAATTATGATATGTTTGAAATTTGTTTTAATTCACGTGTACCTGGATATCAAAGAGGATTAGTGCAAGAAGTTTCATTAAATATTAAGACTGGTATTGAAGCCAAAACATATGAAGGCCTAGGTGAAGTGGCTAAATTAAAACCTTTGGAGTTGGACCTAAAAATGTTGGAAGATTTATCATCATCCATTGTTCAAGACTTTTCAGATATGAAGCTTCGTGCTGATGAAATGCGCAATACAAATGAGTCAACAAGTAGAAGAGTTCATTGGTTCAGCACGCTTAGTATTTGTTGTTTATTTGGATTAAGTTTATGGCAGATCTTTTACTTAAGAAGATATTTTAAGGCTAAGAATCTTATCGAGTAATATTAATATCTATTGAAAATGTATTTTTTTCTTTTCCATTAAAATATGCATTAGTTTGAATTCAAAATTAATTTGTTTAAAACAATTTTTCATTGAAAAATAAATACTTCAATTCTGAAATATCTATATTAAATGGAATGTTTATTACAATTTGGGTAAATATGTATTTAAAAATCAAGAAAAACAGTAATCATGCACCTATAATCATTTGAATTATTTAAGTATTGTTTATTTATTTAGATATTAGTTCCTCAATTTATTATTATTTATATTATAATTACAGGGTTTAATCTCAGTGACATACTATTGTTTAGTAGTTATATCATAGGGCCACTTTTAAATGTAGTGAATATTTCAGTGTCACAATGTCTATGCAGTATGCATGGACTGAAGCTGTAAGGTTACAAATTGTCTGGATTTGAGAAATGTTCAAGTTTTACAAAGGTAAATGTTTATAACAAGCTATATCGGTAAAAAGTTATTTCAGTTGACAGATCTTCGTGTTTCACTCTATATAAATGTATGTGTAATTTCTGTTTTTTTCCCGAAACGTTTGGATAAGCGACAACTCATTAAATGTACTATTAAATGTACTCTCGCTAAATTATTATTTTTATTTGTGTGTTAATTTGTTCACATGTGATGTTTACTGGAAAACGATTATTCCAGGAACCCAGCACATTATATATTGTAAGAATATATGTATACAATAATCTAACGTAAGTAACAATAAGTAAATAATCTTAACTGAATGACTGAAATTTTATGATTTTATGCCTGTGATTAAAACTAAATGGTGAAATTGTATTTGTATACAGTCGAGTATTACCAAGTCATAAGTATACAATCATGGATAAAAAAGAACTTTATCCGTGAACACGATTTAAGATTTCTTTATTCGTGAGTATTAAGTACAAACTACAAAAGCTCAATATTTGTTTAATTGATAAGAATTTTGATATCAATAGTATTGCAGTTTATGTAAACGCGGCAAACGAGCATAGATAATAAATACATGTATACGAAAAAGTATAGTGTGAATCCACATCCTCATGGCGCATCAAGACCGTGATGTCTGGTGTTATTATATTTTATCGGTGCTGCCAACAATTTATTCGGTCATGCAACCGTTACTTTGGTGTAAACCTGCTGTTCATTATGAGATTACGTAAACGTTGAAAATCCCGGCCCCACAACGACCTTTTAGATGGAATTCTATTTAAATGTTATTATATGGTTTCGTAGAAGCCTCGGAAACTATAGTATTATTATCCTTTAATACAGGTGTCCGATTTCCATTTCTCGCAAAAATATAATAATATTAATCATATACTATTCTGCATAAACGGCGAAAAATAGCTTGCTTTTTGGCCGGTTGATGATTTCGGTGTTGGTAGCATTGGTCCATGGTGGGGAGAAAGGAGAGAGAATACAGTGATCGGTAGTTTTTTCGTTTGTCACCGTGAATGCGTTTTGATGATAAATTCTCCGTGTCCGCCGAATGCCGTTCGAACCGATAATCGCTGTAAAGTAACGTACGCACGTCGTCGACATTTATAACGTGATCCGGCCGACCAACAACAGACTCAGAATTTAGGCCGCCGAGAGCCGTATGTGTTTTTACTGTTCAGTCATTCAGTGTACATGCATACCGTTAGTTGGATATGTTGACAGTGTGAATTAATAATTATTAGGCGGTAAAAATATAAATTAAATTATCTTTATAACATAGGTATTATTCGGTTTGTTTATAAATTTGTATTGACATACCTATATATATATTCATAAATAAAGTACATAGAAATTATTTTTCATCTACTTATTATAATATACAGGACGGCTGAAAAGTAAGTCGGGGTGGTTTGATGGCTTAGAAATTTCATTCAGTTTTTATCCCTTGATAATCCTTCTACAGTATTGTTTTTCCTCCAAATAGTTTTATTTAACACCCGATTGGTGTTTGAATATCTTGAATGTTTTAGCACATGTTTTCCCTATCAAGAAATACTAATCTAATATTTGCATACCTATTGATGTGGTTTGCTTTTAATTACCTATACCTATTACGTTGCATGTTACCAATTCAAAAATTGACCGTGTTATTTGGATCATAATATGCTATGTTCATACCATTACTAACTCGTGTACATAATTAATATTTTACCATTTCTTGCTATAAAGTTAAGATTTTTGATCAATTTAATCATTTTTACATTGCAAAAAGGTATGTAGGTAGTTTAAATATGTATACATTTCATTAATAAAGTCTAATTTATCAGAGCTATCTTCGTTATTGTATTATATTTTTTATTTATTATCCATGAGTTTTGTTTTTGGTAAATGTTCATTAAGTAGGCATGCCTATTGATAATCTCTATTTAATTTGTTCCTCGTAGTCATGTTTTAAATTTACCTATTTAAATTTATTTTCTTAATTTTGCTTAGCAATTATTTATGATTTATAAAATACATTTATATACTACCTACCTATATCTAGTTATATTTTTGGAAACCTTTTGAATAGATTTTTTATTCAATTAATATGCTTTTATAAGTTATTAGTAAAAGTACAAATAATTGTAATTATATATTATAGTCATAATTTATATTTATTAATGTCAATTCAAGTATTATAATACATACAGTTCTAGTAAGTAAGTTAAATTCTTGGTTAAATTTCAAATACCTAGTTTGTTGTATTATATTGTAACTACAATATTATAGGTTCTATATCCAAAAAAAAAAACTACAAATTAATTGGGTACCTATGTATTTAATAGAAGATATAGATAAATTTTACAATAAATATTTACTATATAATAATTGTATTATAATCTTAATTTGTGTAATTAATAGGTAGTATTACTATATTTAATATTTTTTAAATACCTATAAAGTTTTAGTTGATAATGAAAAAGAAATTGATTTAAAATTGTTTAAATTGGTTTTTTAAAACCCAATTAATCTTTTTAATATGACTTAAATTAATTATAGAAATCTACTTTGATGATTTAACTAAAAATAAATTAACATAGTAACCACATTTAAGTATAAATAATGAATTTTGTATTTTTTCGATGTAGGTATATTGCCTATTATTTTATGGTTTTATAAATTCCATTTAAAAATAAAAGTTGAGTTTTGTGAAAATATAATGTCTATACTATAGGTATTAAAGGTGAACACTTTAGGTGCATTTAATTATGTATTTGAAATAAAATATTTATATTTCAGAATAATTATTTAATTTACTCAATTAGTTATTCTTTATATTTGATATTTTCTTGAGCTTGATATTATACCGTCCTCCTGCAGATTGAATAAAAATAATAGTTTGTCGCTATTACCCCGACTGGTCATTCAGTTTATGTTATTGAAATAAGCGCATGAATCCGCAATCTGGTACATGGCCACAAAAATCGATGAGAACCCGATTAAACGGTACAAACCTTCCAGTCCGACACCTCAGTTGAGATAGTAAGTTGTAAATAACCATAAATTTATAATTAAAGTTTTACAAAATCATTAGGTACAGTAGGTATACTTTTGGTGTTGGGCTTGTATGCTTTTTAAGAACACTTACTGGATTGGTATAACATGCCTGTATCTGGTAGTTTGAATTGTATTCCAAAAATAATTTTATTTGCTTCTTGTTCTGTTGTTTCATTAATAATATTATCCTTGATATATATATGTATCCACCCATGACCTGTCATACAATTTTCCTTGCGTTTTTAAAACGTCTTAACTAATTGAATTGGTTTTTGGCAGCCAAGAGAACGGAAACAATATAATGGATATAACTGAAAACAATGTAGCAACTGAAAAAGTTGTTATTTTGGATGCAGGTGCTCAATATGGTAAAGTAATTGATCGAAAGGTCAGAGAACTAAATATTGAAAGTGATATGTTGCCATTAAATACTCGAGCAATAACAATTAAAGAAAAAGGATATAGGTAATATTACTAATATTATATTTTTAAATGTATATTTTTTTTTTAATGTCAGGTATTACAAATTGTAATTTTAGGGCTATAATAATTTCTGGAGGTCCTAAATCAGTTAATGCTTTGGATGCTCCAACATATGATACTGATATATTTAGAATAGGAATACCAATTTTAGGTAAGATTTCTTTTCTATTTTTATATTTTATTGTGTAATAAAGTCTCGCTTTTTAATTTTAGGGATTTGTTATGGCATGCAAATGATGAATAAAGAATTTGGTGGTCAGGTTTCTGCAACTGTTGGTCGTGAAGATGGTATTTATAATGTTGATATAGATTGTCAATGTTTATTGTTTAAGTAAGTTTTTTTGCACTAACTGATTTATACAGGACTGGAAAGAATGGCTGAATAGTTGTGGGGGACTGTCTTGACTGTTGAAAATCCAACTAATTATGTGGGGCGTGCGGATAAATTTTTCCTTAATGAACTCCAGCGCTATTTTTTAAAATGAAATGTGCAGTGAGACTAATAAAGGAATTGAATCTGTAAACTGCATTGTGCGTTTGTTTTTTTTTTTGTCATGTTATTGGTCGTTTTCAGTCCTAGTTTTTTATAATCTGGTTTTTAGTAAAAATAAACTTGCAATGTTGATATATTATAATTATATTATTTTTTATTGTAAATTAAGATCATTAAGTAAAGTCCAAACTGTTCTTCTTACTCATGGTGATTATGTTACAAAAGTCGCTGATACCTTTAAAGTGATAGCGACATCAAATAATATGATTGCTGCTATTGGTAATGACATTAAAAAAATGTATGGTCTACAATTTCATCCAGAAGTAAGTAATATTGAAATTTAGCTTTAACAGTGTTTTTTTTTTAATAAATTTAAAAATGTACTTTTGTGCTAGGTGAATTTAACTGAACATGGTACTCAAATGCTTAGAAGCTTTCTATACAACGTAGTTGGTTTAACAGGATTATATACTATATCAAGCCGTGAACATGAATGTATTAAATACATTCGTGATAAAGTTGGTCAGAGTAAAGTTTTGGTATTATTAAGTGGTGGTGTTGATTCTACAGTTTGTGCTGCACTATTACATCGAGCATTAGATCGAGAACAAGTAATAGCTATGCATATAGATAATGGTTTTATGCGTTTAGATGAAAGCAAACAAGTAATGCAATCTTTAACTGATTTAGGATTAGACGTAAAAGGTATGCATGAATTATTCTTAATATAACTATTCTTAGTATTGTTAATTCATACAGAATTTTTTTTTTATTAGCTGTAAATGCGACATTTGATTTTAAATATGGTACGACTATATTCCCTGATCTGCATGTGTCCAATCGTACTAGAATTTCTCCTCCTCTGTGTCAAACTAGTAATCCCGAAGAAAAAAGAAGAATAATTGGTGATGTTTTTGTTAAGGTAGTAACGTTTTCATTTTTATGATTATTGTAATTAATATTGATTTACTTTTAGATTGCTGATAAGTTCCTGAAAATATTAAATTTATCATCGGAAGAAGTGTATTTGGCTCAAGGAACTTTGAGACCAGATTTAATTGAGTCTGCTTCAAAGTTTGCTAGTAAAAACGCAGATACTATAAAAACCCATCATAATGATAGCAAATTAATACGTGAATTACGAGATAAAGGACGTGTCATTGAACCTTTACAAGACTTTCACAAAGATGAAGTATTTAATTACTTTTACAATTTTGAATAAGTACCTAATTATTTTTTGTTTATTTTAGGTCAGAAGGTTAGGAATGGATTTAGGATTAAGTGAAAGTATTGTATATAGACATCCATTTCCTGGTCCTGGTCTAGCTATAAGAATATTATGTGGAGATGAACCATTTATCGAAAGAGATTTTTCTGAAACTCAAGTTGTAGTTAAAATTGTTGTGGAATACCGAGATATGGTTTTAAAGGTATATTTTTTTGCTGTAGCATATAATTATTATTTATAACAACTAATTAGTTTTTTTCCTATGTTGGGAAATAATTTAAAAAAAAAAAATTAACTTTTACTTTTATTCCCAAAATAACATAATAGATTATATCACTGACTAAGTAACAATATCTATTAAGATTAAATTACATTGTTTTCGTGTATTTTAGAATATTATGATTCAAACAGTCCATTCTCCTTTAAATAAAATTGAATTGTAGTCCAAAAGTTAGAGAATTAAAATAAATGAGGACAAATTCATATAAGGTAATTTAGGATCAGTGGTTGGTAACCTTTTTGCTCTGTTTGCATTTAAAAATTTTAAAAAAATTCACTGGCCAAACAAAAATTAAAATTGCAGTCTTATTTTAAAATTTGAGTTGATATGTTTAAATTTTCATTCAAGTGTGAACATAAATATTATCTGCTCAAATCAAATATTAAATAAAAAAAGGTTTTAGGTAATGCGACTTTGTCTAAATTATTTAGACTAATATTTATCAGGTATGCTTAAAACTTAATTTTTGAAAAATTCTGTATCTATACATGTTTTTTTCTTGCATAGTTATTTTCACATTAGGTGTAAAAATGACTTTATTTTGAATGGATACTTTTGAAAAACATAGTTTTCTGTAGTTTTTGAACTTCAATTACTCTTACCTGGTCATGTGAGGTGTCACATTTAATTTATGTTTGGAATCATAATATCATTAAATATTGTATTCTTTTCAATACATAAATTAAATAATGATAAATTTGGCACATTACTTACTTTATTTTCAATTACAAGGTGATTGACCCACTTTTTTGAAAAAAATATACTGAATTAATTTTTTTAGTAACATACATAATTGATAATTGATACTTAATTTACTACACTATATAATTACATAAACAACATACCAAGTTGTAGTTCAAGCAAAAAACGGGATGCGACTGGTTTGAAAATTATGAATATCTTAGATTCAATTATATTCTATGCATGCAGACATTATATATATAGATATTAATATATTATAATCTTATATATAAAATTTTCGTGTCGTGTGTTTGTGGTTGCACTCTGAAATGGCATGACCAATTTTAATGAAATTTTTTTGTATGTTAGGTAGGTATTAAAGTATTTTTCACTTCACAGTAATTTTTTTTTGTTGATTTGTGTTACCCCGGTAACGGATGAAAAAAAAAAAATGAAAATTAATTATTATAACAAAGTAGTTGAAAAATATGTGATTATCAAAATCGGTCTTGCCGTTCTTGATTTTTCAATGGTGTAATTAACTTGACTTTGTTTTATTTTTATAAGATTTTTGTTTATTCAAGGGTTGCATGAAAAAGAAAACTATTATAATTATTATTATTGCTATTATTTACACTATTCAAATTTCACAATTGAACACATTTAGTCCGCCGAATGTGAACTTGTCACTTTCCACCTATTTGTTTTCATTCAATTCTGACACGGCTAAAACCAAACATGAATATGGGTAAAATAATAATATACATATACAGGTGTCCCATGATGATCTGTCTTTTGAAATAACTTTTGTTCTGATTAGATATTTTTTTAAATAATTAGGTATGCCTCTACAATATATTCTATGTATGAACATTTTCTTTAGGTGGAGGGGGATTTAAAATGAAGAATTTTACTTTAATTTTTTAAAAAAAATTAAAAATAGCCATTTTGTAAAATAGATTTTTAGAAAAATGTTGGTGGTTGAAATTTGTTAAAATACTGTCTTTTAGGTTCTATAATTTTTTGGAAATTAGAATAATTTTATTTTCAATTGTAACAATATTTTTTATCAACATAAATTACCAGTATTGATTTACTTCTCCAATAACCATTATCTATAATACGATAATATTATTGCATGATATTAATTCATGGAAAAGAAAATTCTTGTCATGTGCCCTAACTAATTGATTAAATTTCAAATAGAATAAACCACAATAGGTAATATTCACATTTGCAAAAACTTTAAAATATTGTAGAAAATAAAAGATCATACTTTAAAAAAAGTTTCAACCACCACACATTTTTTAAAAATCTCTTTTGAATATCTTTTAAAAAATTATAGTAAAATTTAAAATTTTTTATTTTAAGTCACCCTCTCCCTAAAAAAAAATTTCATATATATACTGCAGCGCAGAGGTATACTAATAATTTAATAATATTTACGTATGTCAAAAATATTGAACAGCCCAATGCTTTTTATAAATTCTTAATTCTTAATTCTTAAATTAAATTCCTAGTTATTGCAATAAATAAAAACCAACTAGGTTTCACGACACAAAATATAAACATAATCAAGTTAATATACATGTCTTCAAAATCCAGACAAATAATCATTATTTAGGGAAATAAACATTAATACTGCATAATCAATATAAATTAAATGCATATCAAAATATTTTGGGCTAAATTTGTCAGAAATAAATTTTTATCTATTATTCAATAATTTGGCTGGCTGTAATTACCCAATTACTTTTATGTTTAGCATAACTGCAATTTTACTGTTTTAGATTATTATGAATATTGCATATGGCATAATTTTGATTAGGTTTGGTTTTATGTATTCTCTTTTATTTGTAATAAATATTTATTATTATTTAGGCACTTATATTTAATTTAAATATTTTTAGAGTCATGCACTTTTAAATAGAATAGAAAATGCAACTTCCGAAAATGAACGAAAAATGTTGTATGAAATATCTTCCAAACAGAAAATGACTGCCACACTTTTACCAATAAAAAGTGTTGGAGTTCAAGTAAGTATTTCATTACTATTTTTGTATACATACACATAAATACATATATATATATATAAAAAAACATATTTTTGGTATGAAAAAGTGTTGTTTATTTCTAGGGTGATAAACGTTCTTACAGTTATGTGGTAGGCATTTCTTGTACAAACCCTGAGCCCATTTGGGAAGATCTGTCATATTTGGCCAGAATAATACCTAGAGTATGTCACAATGTTAATAGGGTATGTTATATTGCTGGTCCACCAGTTGCTTACCAAGTGTTGGACATAACACATACATATTTAAATGTTCAAGTGATAAGTTTGCTGAAAGAAGCTGATCATGCAGTTAATAAGGTATGGCAGTTAAATAATATAAACATATATTTTTTAATCAAATATTATTGGGGGTTTTCAGGTTTTAACAGAATGTCCAACTAGCATGCGGAAAGTAAGCCAGATGCCAGTAGTTCTTATTCCTGTACATTTTGACCGAGATGTTGCATACCGCCATCCATCATGTCAACGTTCAGTTGTAATTAGGCCATTTATTACAGAAGATTTTATGACTGGTATTCCTGCATTGCCTGGAAAACATATATCTGCTCCAGTTAGTAGATTTATTATATTCATATAGTGTCAATCCATTTGATGTTTTTTTAAATTTATAAAAAAAAAAATGTTATGTTTAGCTTGTACACAAAATGATGGCTGCTGCTCAAGAAATACCTGGTATATCTCGAGTTTTATATGACCTAACGCCAAAACCTCCTGGTACTACAGAATGGGAATAAAATATATTCTAATAATTGGTCGAATTTTGAAAAACATACTTAAGAAACGTAAGTTTCATTGCCCTACTAAATAAAAGATAAATATTTAATACAATTGCTCACTGGTGGTTCATCAATGGTAAAAACAAAGTTTTTACTTATTTTCCTAAAGAGTTTCCAAAAACCAAACTATTTTGCTGTAATATTATGATTTAAACTCCATTGATCAATATTTATTTTTTGATAAATTATTAGTCCTGATTGTTGTTTACATACTAAGTTTTTATTAACACTGAAATAAGTCTGTAAAATATTATTTTAATATGCTAATGATAACCTGAATGTACTGACAATTAATTGTGAAACACAACTCAAATAGAAAGAGCCTTTTGTACAAAGTAAAATCTCTATTCTAATAATATATAACTGTATCACCAACATCTGATTAGCTTAATATGTTATTATAATTTCATTAAAAATATATACTTGTATTTACTACCAATGAAGGATTTAAATCAATATTCTATTTCTTTTTTTGTTAATGTTTTAAAATTGTGTAATTATTGAATAAAAATTCATATGAAAAAAAATATGCTTTCATTATTTTTTTTTTATTTATATTGTAGTTATTAATTAGCTATGAAATCTAATCATTACATTTTACTACATATGCGAGTACTGAAACATGAATATGTTTATGACACCATACTGGAAATTTGATTGTCAAGAGTAATATGTATAAATTATTATATTGTATTCATTACATATTTATGTCATAGAATTTAATGTTATACATTCTAACTTATTTTAATATAAAATATAAATTGACCATCTAGTCTATAGATGTTAAAATATTTTATAGTTGTTAAAATTTGTTTAAAAATTTTAATATATAGTTTTATTATAATCTGTACAAAAAATTGTATTAACTACTACATTTTTCTATAGTATCATCTCAATATGTAGTTACATAATACTAATTATAATTACAAAATAAGTAATTTATATTTTTAAATTATATAATACTTGCTAATTCATAATTTAATAATTGACGTGATTTTTATAATTAAAATAATAGAAAACTATGGCATTGCATGGTGATGAATGATAATTATTAGTTATGCCATATATATTTTTATTGAAATCTGAAGACCAAAATATAATGTAATTTGGAATAATTAAAATTAACCGTGTTGCATTCTAAAAGTATACAAAATAGCTATTTATAACATGCTTCATATGAAATTATTTTTATGTATAATTTTATAATAATACAGATTGTATTTGCAATTATTTATTGGCTTTGCGGAAAAAGTTCAATACATCTAGGTGTACAGTGTAAAGGACAGATTCAGAGTAGCTTAGGGGCGGAGCAAGCTAGAGACTTTCAATTTCTGGTCTGGTGGCATTTTTTTACACTATTTTCTGAGATTACTAAATTATATTTATGCCTAACCTTATGCATTTTAATATATTAATGTTTTATGTTAAAATGATACATTGATATTCATAACTTTATACTTGTATATTTTTAAATATGTATTTATTCATCTAGGGTCAGGTGGGATAATTGTAAATGGTTTTAACAAAGTATTTTTTAGTTTGTGTTTCTGTTTATTACTTATACATACATTTTTTTTTATCATTGTATATATATATAATATACTAGTGGATGTAATAAATATATTTTCAATGCAAATTTGGTAAATTTTAAATCCCAAACCTAAAAAAATTGCAATTTATACTTACAGTTACCCCTTAATTTTTTTTTGGGGGGGGGGGAATGTAAATGAACAGATTTAATTTATAAGGTAATCATCAAATTGTGTATGGAGCCAATAAAAATGAATATTTTTCACTTTTTTCAGCCAACTTTTTGTAAATGATAACAAAAAAGATATAACCTTTAAAATGCTGAAATAAATATGTTTCATAAAAGAAAATATATTAAATAATATTATTACCAAATTCAATGGTTATAATTTATTTGTTTTATCAGTATACCAGTCTCATTTACAATTACCCTACCTACTCCTACTCCTAGTGATTTGAATTTCTAAACAATTGCACATCTATTTATTGTTATGTATCACTCATGTTTTAATTATCTATACATATAAAATCCAAATACCACTGACTAACTGATTGCTGTATCTCAAAAACTACGTAACGTACGGACTTGAAATTTGGAATATAGGTTCATCTCATATTTTCACCGTGTAATAAGGAGGGATTTTCAAAAATGTTGCGTTTTAGTGGAGTAATTAACAATTATAATTATTCACTGCCAATACGTATTGTGCGGCACGGCAGCCCGCGGGTCTCCAGCTACCTGCAACCTATCCTTTTTGTTCGTCGTCGTTGTCATGTAGATAAGAATAATGATTCCGAGAATAAAATTGTTCCGAGAAGTTTATCGATAAAAATAAATTTATAGATATTAGGTTATTATGTATATTATCGATAATTATGAATTTAAGACGGTAAATGATAATTCATGGCGTTATCTAATTTGTCACGAATTTTTTTCCGGGCAACGCCGGGTAATTCAGCTAGTTATCTATATTATTATTGTTACATATTAACAGTTCCTAAAACTGAATCACTTATAGTTGTTTGATCATTCATATTTAGAAATGGTTTGAAATTATATAAAAATAAAGTGTTTAGCATCATTTGAATGTTAAAAATTGATTTTTAATTCTACGTAAAAAAAAAAAAATTCTCAATAATGGGGCTGTACAGATAATTAAAAGTAATTTTTTCTTATGTATATTGTATTCTAAAGTCAATCTGTTTGATTGAAAAACTCTCATGAAAATGGAAGTGATTCATTTTTTGTGATCTATCTACACGAATATATTTACATTATAATACTCTAATATAAAACATAATCTTTCTTTATTAATTTTGCAAATCTTCAGGAAAAAATTTAAATAATAAAATAATTAATTAAACATACTTTCAACTTTCATTTTAGCATTGTACAAATTCAACATAACTTCTTGAACATTTTTTAATATTTCAAAATAACTTTGTTTCCAAGCCAAATGATTTTTATTTTTTATCAATCTAAAAACATAAGTTATACAATTAGTTAATTTCATTTAAGTACAAACATTTTTGTTTTATAATTTACCGATAAAGTTTTCTAATGATTTCATAAGCATCTACTGTCTTAGAGTCCTTTACTAAATTGCACAAGTACTTTGAAACCATTATGTTGTCACACATTTTTGGTTCATTTTCAGTTGTTACCCATTCTTCAATAAAATCTTTCATTTGATTGACTTGTACATGTTGGTATAACTTTGAGCTTTCTTCAGTCATAGTGATTTCCAATTCATTTGATGTTGTTATTTCATGTTCTACAGACAGTGAGTTTGGAGGTTCATTAGCTTTTAATTCATTTTCTAATTCTTGACGTAAATCAAGTGGCAATGCATTTAAAAATTCTGGATCTACTTGAGATAGTTTGATATTAACGACTGATTCATTTTGGATCCGAGATGTGGATTGTTTGTAAGTATTTAAATTTTCTTCTTTTGGTTTAAAAAAGTCTACAACAGTTTTTGGTTTATTAATGTTTTTTTCTGTAGATAATATTTTTTTATTCTGAATGTCTACATTAGACTCTTTTTGATGTCTTTTAGATTTTGTCATTATTTTATTATTGTCAGTATATTCATTAAGAGAAATTTGATTTTTTTTTGTTACAGATTTCATGTTTGATATAAAATTTTCAATACATCCAACCCCTTTAACTTTAATACGACTTTCTAATTTATTTATTTGGATTCCTATTCCTCTTAATTCAGTTGGATCAACATTTAACTGATTCATTATTTTATTAACAGCTCTAAATAGGGAATGATTAATAACACATAAGTTTAAATTTTAGAATTTTGGACTTTTTACAATTTAATTTTATATACTACAACTTGGTACTTACTGGAAAATCATTTTAGAATTTGATGTTGATTTAGTTAAAGAATTTGATTTGGTAATATGATCACAAAATCCATGACCCAAAAATTTTGCTGATTCTTTTGGAGCTTCTACATTTCGAATCTAAAATATATAAACCATTAACAAAAGATAGTTTATATTTAATACTAAATAATAAATACCATTAATTTTAAGGTAACTGTTTTCCCAATCATTTCTACATCATTTAACCGTTTTTCAACCTCATCACATAATTGTCTAACAAAGTTTTCCGATTCTTGTTTGTTTTGAAACCTGATGCCATAATTTACTTCAGCCGATATTGATTTGGGCTGATAATCATAGTTGAGTTTTCGATCATCTTCTCCTCGACAATGCCTAAAATGTATATTTTTTCACAATATAAATTGTACACAATTTAAATTAATTTCATAATCCTATTAAAACACACGGATAAACTACATATTATAAGAAGTAAAATCTAAAAATAAATCCTAATGTTAATAACTGTATTTTCTTTCTTCAATTGGGATTCGTGTCGGAGGAACATAAATGTAGAGAAAAATTAAATTTGTTTTTTTATCGTATAATCAATGAAAAAAAAAAACTTAATTATTCACTTTTAAAATTTTCAAAATAACCATTTTGTAAAATATAGTAGTCTAAAATTGTTTATGTATTATACATTCATATCTGATTAATAGTTTTTTTGTTAGTATAGAACCTTTAATATGTAAAAAATAGGTGTGCAAACAATATTCAATAGAATATAAGAAATTACCGTTCTGATTGATTCTTTATTGTGTAGCATTCTATTGAAAATTAATTTTTTTTACACAAATTTTTTAGAAATTGCAATGGCTATTACTAAGAAACCATTTATTAAATATGTAACTAAGGTTCTTGAAAATTTTTAAGACAAATAAATAATAGTTATTTTGAAAATTTTAAAGTGAAAAACAGTGTTTTTTTCCCAGAGATTAATGGATGAGAATGAAAATTTCTCTACATATGTGTCCCCCCTGAGACAAAACCTGATTGAATAATTTTTTTTTAAAAAAAATTATTATTGACAGTTATTACCATTCAAATAACACTATAGAACAACCTGTATTGTATACATTATACTATCATATAAAGAGCATGAAAAATTCATATTAATTGCATACAGGTAAAATATAGTAAAAAACAATTTTCATCATACATTTTAGTCAAGTCGTAATAATAATTAAATAACTAAATATATTATATTTTAACCTATGAGTGAAAAACCAGTGTCTCAACCAAAATTTGTCACTAAGTAAGAGTTCGCTAAGTACCACCACTTAAAATACTTTACTAGATTTACTAAATTCATATATGTATTTCTCAATTCTAAAGTAGTTATTTTTGGGGAATAGGCAATATTCATCAAAAGTGTGCCACAACTTACAATAACTAATATGCCGGATGGAAAAAGTTAAGAAGCCACTAGTATAAGCCATAATCTGAGCATTCATAAATTCAATATTTTAATTAACTTCTCTCTTAAGATATTTATGATTTCAATTCACAGTTTTTAAAAATTAAAATTCTAAATTGTTATTCATGAATATTATTGCATAGAAATTACTTATATAATGAAAGTCCTATTTTGTTTCCAAATTCACTTTGAAGTGTTTGCAGAGATAGTGCATTTAATTCACCACAAGTGCTGACACCGAGTGCTCCCAATTTATATCCCAAAGATCTTCCAATGCCTTGAAGTAAAAAAAACCGTTTAAATGGATAATAGTAAATGAGAAATCTATTTTTTATTACCTGGAACATCACAGACATTGATATTTCTCATAAACTCCATAATAATATTAGGTTCCAAATAATATTGACCATCTGGTTTAGCTTTTTTTGTGGCTAACCTGGCTTGCAGACAATTTGAACCAATGCCAATTGAACATGGACATTGTGTTATTTCCTGTAAAATTATAATAATACATTTTATATATACTTTCATGTTAAAACAAAGATTACCTTTATTTCATTGCGAATAAAAGTTGCTAATTCAAGAGGTGATGCATTAGTGGTTTTCAGTATTTGTGTACAATTTAAATATAATTCATCACAGCTAACAGCTTCCACATCTAATGTATAACTATACAAACGAGATTAAAAATATTTTCAAAGTTAATGGTAAAACAAATAACAAAAATAAATCAATTATTTAAAAATGTCCATTGCTTTTATTAAATATGTATATTGTGCACCCAGAAGTATAAATTAGTTCAATTTCAAATTAATAAATTTAATAAATGTATTTTTTTTTTTGTTAAAATATACATAAAAATTTAATTTAAATAAATATTATTAATTAGTAAATTTCTACATGGAAAATTTAGTTCCAATACTTTTTTTTTTAAATTATCTACTAAACCTGATCATAATTAATTTAAATGTAGATTATAATATTATAAAAAAATCAAAACGACTTAAAAATTATACTAAATTGGTAGCAATTAATCTTTTTAGAATCAAAAATTGTTATTCTAAGAAAGAATGTTTTTTAAATCTATATTTGATTTTGAATTGTTCAAACTGGAAATTGATTCTTAACTATCCAAAAATTTAATTAAAAAAAATAAATAACATCTATTGATTTTGAATTCAAACCCACACAATCAATTATTAAATATTTTAAAGTTATATTATCAGATTATACCAATACTTTAGTAGTTAATTGTGTAGCAACCAGAATAATTGATTTAAATTTTACTACAAAATTAGTAGATTACATTACTATAGTGTTAATTAGTCTATATAACTTACTCGTTCATGATGTGTGTGTATAAAGTGAATGCAACATTTTTATATTGTTCAAAATTGTATGGTATTAATTTTAGACCAGGACACATTTTTAATGCCTGACCCACCAGCATACCATTTTTAATACCGCATTTTCTAGCTTCATAGCTACAACAAGCGATTTCTGCCATTGAATCTGTCTCATTAATGTTGTCTCTTTTAGTTGATTGAGGTTGAATTTCTTGTATTTCTTCTGCATCACTTTGGTCATCACCTTTCCAACGTTTGACGTATAAGCCAAACTCTGCTCCTCGATCTACACCATCTCTTTTTAAAGACGAGTTTCCTTTGGCATGTGTAACAGCTACAGGCAAACCTTTAAGGTCCGGCCTTTCTACCAAACCAACAGACACAAAAAAACAATCCATATCGATGTGCATAACTATTTTGTCACAGTCAAACCCTGTATCTTGTGATAATGAGTCTTTAGTTCCATTTTTTTTTACCCACTCTTTCAATCTTTCTTGCCCAGGATAATCCATTTGATTACGTTTCCGCGTATCATTCACCAAATGTTTGAATGTTGTTGCCATGGTTGATATTAAATGTAGTCTAGAATTGTTATAGAATTCTGATAGAAATGTTGGTTCAGATGCATTTTTAGCACGAACTGGGAAATCTATTTTTGGCTGATTCGGTTTGTCAATGAAAAGTAAATAATCTTTAAAATTTAAAAGTTTCCCTGCTTTTATGCTATCAGATATCCATTCAGGTTTTACAATTCTATATTGTTTAAGTAATTTTAATTTTGCAGTGGGTAAATTACTTGCTATCACATGGGTAGTAATATCTGGTCTGTGGTAGTGATGATAAACTCCTCCATTCTCCATCATAATTTGTTTTAGTTCATCAGCAGAAGGCACTAAAATACATATTACAAAAATGATAAGTATTATGTTCAATATTTTAGATTTCATGTTGATTAAAGTAGGTACTAACATTATTTTTAAAGTAAAAATTAAATTGTTACTCAGTAACAATTTCTAACAAGAATAAATTATACATTTTTTTGTCCAACACATTACAATGTATCCTTAATGCAGAGATGTTAAGGCTTTATCCTGTGCCTCTAAAATCATCCTGTTTATACTCTGTTTTAATTCTACTTATCCTTAGTCTTTTTCCTTCAAGTGCTACTCTCTATTATTTAAGCCTATTGCTATTGCTTCCACATGTTCACCAATCAAACTATATCATCTGCAAGCATTACACACTTTGGTATCTCATTTTACCCGATGTTCCGATACAATTGGGATAATCTGCCCAAATTTTATTTAGAATTCCAAAATATTGGTTGAGTGGTAAGGTTGTACTTAAGGTTAGGTATTTAGGTTATAATAGTGGTTACATCAGCTTTCAATGGAGAAGGGAATGTCCTCTAGATTTAAACTTTCTAAGGAATAAAGAAATAATATACCTAAGTATATTTTATTATACATACATGTGTATCCATTAACAAATATTGAAATGCCTTTAAAAATTTGACTTTTCACAGTATTTCCATCACTAGCCGCTTTTTCCATAAACTGATTATTTAGTTTAGTTTTTTTTGCTTCCATGTATCCACCCTGAAGAATGAATTAAGTAGGTATTTATTTTTATAGTTATTAATACTGCTAAGGGTGCAAAGGGTGCTATAAATTACGTACCCATTGTTCAAATCCATCAATTTCGATTCTATTTCGTTTCATCGTATTTTAGTAAATCACTAGAGAGCACAAAATATAATCTCAAAATTAATTATAATGGTGATTGGTAATAGGTAAATAGTAGCATTTCTTATTCATAATAAAACCATAAAATATGGAGCTATCGCTGCTATCGACTTATTCGACATGTCAAATTTTCAGCATGTATTTATGCATTTTACCCAGAATTATTCGTGTATTGTGTACTGCTTTCTCCAAATATTATCAATACATCATACATATTGTATCTAGGATATCTTAATTCGTGATGGGTAGGGTGTAGTCGTCCGAAATGATAAGAGAAGCAACGATGAAATTAATTTGTTTTGTTATGTAAAACCGCGATCAATGTTATCATACCGAATTCATAAAACTTTTGGATAACTGCTTATCACTTTATGACCATGTGAGATGTTACGTTATGATAGATTATCAGTTTCGAGTCGGGAGCACGTTTGCTCAAAGTTTAAACTTCAAAATCTTAATGCAATTCTAATAATTATGTATTAAATTACGTGTACAGTAAAATATCCGTGTTGGTTTATTGTTATTATTTTCATTAATGTATAAATTAATAATATTTTTTTTAAATATCTGTTAGAATGCATGATTCAAACCAATGCCTACATTATAGGTAGCAAATTGCAGGTATTATTTTGTTTTTTTAAATTCTTATTTTGTATATTATGCTGAATTTCTAAATTGTAACGAGCAGTGACTAATAGAATAAAACAATTAATTTTAATGATAGTATTATAATATTATGTTGAAATTATGAATATTATTGTTAAATAATTCTCTGTATTTAGTACTTGGTTATCATGTAGGTAAAATAATATTCAAGATAAATTATATTATAATAATATTATTGAGTTTAGTACTAAAAATATATTGTGTACCTATATATCTCAATTATATAATCATTGTAATTAATTATTGGTCGATTTATTTATTTTGAATTAAATATGTTTTTGTTAAGTACTTGTGTACTTATTTAATTGTAATGGATTATCAAATAATAATAACTTAACATTGGTAATAAATTAAATATAAGTATCAAAAATCGTTCTACATATTTATTATATGTAAGTACCTACCTACTTATTTAAAATATTATTTATCATTATAGGTGTAATATTACATTGAATACATTTAGAGTAACATAATATATACAGTGTAATTGCTCAATTTTTCATTGTTATTCTTATATTTTTAAAAAATATATCAATTCATGTGTTGAATGTATGAGGTTTTATATGAATAAACAACCGACATGGAGAAATATTTAAATTAAAAATTACATTTTTTCATGTTTATCATTTTTTAAAGTGAATACATTTTATTTGTTACTATTTTTTTTTTTTTTTAATACTTAGGTATTAATAATATTCATAATAAATTATATGACTGTTGACATTGTGAAATAGCTGTTTTAAGTTACATTTAAAAAGTTTATTTAATACCTTTTAAAGTGATTAGGTTTTAGGTTCTATTTATTATGAGCTTATTTAAACAAAATCACTCGATCACTGTACTCCCTCAGATTGTTTTAATGAAAAATAACCTGTTGATTTGTTGTACAAAATTATGTCTGGTAGGTAACAGGAAAAAAAAAAAATGCATTTTACAAGGAAAACTATATTTAATAATTATTATTGTATGGGGTACCAATAAAAACATAAAACATTGTAAAAGTGCAAAGAAACACGGGGACCTCAGGAATGATACCAAGTACAGATCACCAATAATTTATAACAAACAAGCCACAAAAGAAGCAATTTTGAATTATTTAACACAATACACATAATATCTGAACTTAAAAGACTATAACATTGAAACTAAGTTAGTTTGCTCAATTCTGACTTCACCATTGCTATTAACTCGGTAATATATATAATATTTTGTAATAATAAAAAAAAAAAAATTTGCATGGACCAGTAACTAGATTTATACCCATAAAATAAATAATATTATTATTATGCATATTAGCAAAAAGTAGCACTAAAAATCTAGAATGCTTTAAAATATTCATTAAATAGCAATATCAAATGTATGGTAGTAATTATTAGTTCACTTGATTTAAGATAATTTTGTTGGATATCCCTTCTTGCTGCTGCACTTCTACATTCTGCATTGAAACATTTCCTTGGCTTTTTTTAAATGTACAGTGTGCTGTGTATTTTTCGTGGCTTTAATAATTGTATATCTAACTAACTTCCAACACCATTCAAAATTACAAGGTGTAGGTACTATTCAAAAATCAAAAAATGGTTCAAGAAGTTCAGAGAAGTCTGTGTATGACCATAGTTGGCCACTATTAGATTTTAACGTGATAGCAAAATTTGCTATGAAAATCGAATATTTGCATCAGTAATTGAGAAGGGAACCGTAGCCCTACGACGGCTTATTGCCAGCGTTACTACGAACATTTGCCGACCGATTTCATATTTATTGTATTTCAATTTTAGCTGTAAAACTGCCCAAATATCTATAATTAGTTTGTTTTTATTATGTTCCGTTGTTATGATATTAGATTCTAAGTTGATTGATGAAGCTTATGGTTTTAAAACTGATGTTTATTTATTTTTTTTATCTGTGGACAACTTTTTTTTACTAGAAGTGTTGCTCCAATTTTTTAGTGTAGCACCTTTTTTGAAAGAAAATCGTACTGTGAAGGTACTTTGAAGGGATCATTTTTTGATTTTCTTAAGAGTTTTCTCAACAAACGCGATAAACCGAAAATAAACTGAGGAAAAATGTGAAAATATATGGAATGTATATTGTATGGTATTAGTTGAAAAAACATTACAGTCTTTTTTTTCCTGTGAGCAACTTTTCTCTAAGTAATTTTGCTTCGATTTACAATGATAGCACTTTTTCTAAAAGGAAATCTCACTGGGGAGGTACCTTAGGGAAGCCATTTATTGATTTTCTTACTAGTTTTCCCAATAAATGGGAAAATAGGTACAATATTAAACAATTATTATTAATGAAAATATATAATGCCTATGCAATTATTTTGTTATGTATATTTTTGATAAAGCAACTACTGTATTAAATAATAATAATAATAATAACTACACTTTCAACTGAATTCTGTCTAGAATCCTTTTTTTCGTTTATCTTTGCCTACAGATATACATTAAATTTTCACTCTACTATCTTTCCATCTTCTCACCTACAATAGTGGCTGCACTCAATTGCGATTTTGCCCAGCTTTTTAAGGTTAAGGGGTACAGATATACTTAAAGAAGCAAGATACTCTGACATCTTCTAGTTTTTAAAATTGGATTTTTCTATTGTTTAAAAGACAATTCTTTTTGCAGGAATTTCCAATTCTCATTAATTCTCATTAATAGCTTACTTATTTTGAATACAGTTAAATAATGGATATAAAGAGCCATAGTTTAGGTTTTGATACTTTGATTATACAAATCATGGATAGTTATAAAAATAGTTTAACTTTCCACTGATTTACTTTTTTATATTATAATTTATATTTGTATGCAAATTTATACTTACCCTCCTCTGGAGGCATATGATATAACTTGTTTAGTGATTCCGGGTCCCAATCTCTTACTGGTGGGTAATTCTAGTAATAATATGGTATTGTTTCTGTAGGTGGGAGGGAATCAGAATATTCCCATGTTACCTCTACCTGGTGCATGAGGTGACAAATGGTCTTGTGTTAGGTCGAAAACCGGTGTAAAATTATATCAAATACTTGGTGTGAGGATTTATAAATGTTGATTTAGCCCCTTCTCAGATGTGTGTTAGGACAACAAGTGAGGTGCTATGATGCGTGCTGTTTGCAGATGATATAATTTTGATAGGAGGACGTGTGAAAGAAGTTAAAAATTGGCTTGAAGAATGGAGAGTGGAAGTTGAAGAAAAGAGACTGAGTAAAAGTAAGTAAAAGTAAAACAGGATATAAGTTTGGAGGAATAAAACAAGACAACTAACAATAGTAAGAGATTATAGGCAAGGTTGATAGTTTTAAGTACCTACTTAGGATCTTTTGTAGAAAATCGGTGGCTTTCATGGGAAAGTATAACAAAGGATTAGGTATGGTTGGATAAAGTGGAGAAAAGTGTCAGGTGTTTTATGTGACAAGCGAGTTTCAATGAGACTGGAAGTAATGTTCTACAAAAATGTGGTGAGACTAATTATGTTTTATAGTTCGGAGTGTAAGGTAAAAGTCTGAAAAGTAAAACAGAGAATGAGTAGGGAATCGGGTCAATTGAAAGTTAAGGACGAAGGTGGCTTACTTAATAATAAAATAATCCCAAATAATTTGGATGAAACCGAAAAAGAAGATGACATTTTATATTAACTAACATTAAAACGATCGAAGGTACTATGATACAGATAATCGAACAAAAAAACTAAATTGTTCGTCTTCAATTTGTAACTAAGTTAGTACAACTAATCAATTAACGAAACGAATATTTAAAGGTGTTAATTTTTCAATGCATTGTGTTTAACAAAGTTTCAATAAAAAAAAAAAAAATATTAAAAAAAGTGTTCGCTGCTCCCTATTGGATAATTTTGTGTACGTTTCCTTGGCAAACAACTTATTTTGATTTGAACATAGTATCTGATTATATCTAGTGTATCTAGTGTACTTACCTATACATTGTTTCGAACAATATTATTATTTGTGGTCTACATTAAATATTGCAAACATGGACGTGAAGCATACCTATTTTATTCGTGTCTAATTCTGATGAAGTATAAGTAAATACGACGGCCACACATCACAGTAGTTCTTCGATCTCAATTAGAAAACCGCCCGATTCTGATTTCCTATACGAAATTTACAATGTTCTCCTATTATTACGAAAAGTGCTTTGCATTCCAAAAAGTAACACATAATTAAATTTGAAATGCTACAAAGAATGCTCTTATGAATTTGTTCATTGAAGTAAGTATTCAAGTTTAAAATCTGAAGTGAATTTGAAAATTGAAAAAATGGTAGGTACTAGTAGTTTAGAAAGTAATATTGGTGTAGTCCACAAATCCATTATCACTCATTACAATACTTAAGACGAGTGTTTAAATATTTTTTATTCATGGTAACTTTAATGGTATTGGAATGATTGGTTAGGTACTGCTGTTTTTTTTTTTAATAGACCATTTGGTTGTCCTCTGTATCGGTTGGCGGTTGATGATAATAAATCTGAAAACATATTTAAAATCTTAATTTTGTGTTTGTTCAATCAGCTTTCCTTTTGTTTTTATTCTTCAAATATCTGATCTTTAATCCTCCCAGAAGTTTGATTTAAACATTTAAAATGTTTTAGAAAATTCCACGTAAGTTAAAACAAAATTGGCAAATGTATTAAAGAAAGTGAGGAAGTCAATTCAAAGTAATCAAGTAAAATATTTAAAAACGAGTTTAAATACGTTTTCAAATTTTTTATCGTATAGCTAGGTCGACTGCCGGTACAATGGACAATAAGTACATATTTCTAATAAAATAGGTAGTAAGTACATTTTAGATTTATGTAGTATATAAATTGCCTATGAATTGTTTATCCCTTGCTTCTAACCTACCTTTCTTACCTAACCGATGGTTTTTTTTAATTATTTTATGTTATGCTGATTTCAGAAAAAACTGCAGTCGCCGTGTTAATTAAAAACGATAATATTTCAAATCTATGTCATTTACAACGAAAATATGTGTAATAAAAACGAGTATATACTTGGTAGAGTGTTTGGTAAAACATTTACGCTGCGCACGGGATGGTCTTTACCAAATCCTGAAGATATGTTTACCGAACCTCCGTGGCAGTTGAACGATTTGCAAAATTTAAAAACGACGTTAAACCGTACTAAACAAAAATTAAATTTATTTGATTTGGACCAATGGCACGCACACACGACCAAAATGAATCCCGCGGGCCTGGTCATAAATCACATCAGAAAGCACGTACGTCCCGACTTTTTGACCCAGGCCTGGTGCAAATTCTACGAGATAGCATATAGTTCGCCGTTATTTCCGCGGGACGCCGCCGTCAACAGTGAGGAAAACAGTCTGTTCACTGTACACCTATGTGAGGCGCCCGGCGCTTTTGTGTCCGCCTTGAACCATTACATGGCGATCAATCACGAGGGGCTGCGGCTGAAATGGCTGGCGATGACGCTGAACCCGTACCACGAGGCCAACGGACATCCCGACATCGTCAGCGATGACCGACTGATACTGAACACGCTTGACAACTGGGAGTTCGGGCCGGACTACACAGGTGACATTTTCCAACCGGGGTACGCCGATCACCTGCACCGGACGGTCTTGCGCAGATTCAGCGGCGAAGGCGTGGGCTTGGTGACGGCCGACGGCAGCATTGACTGTTCGGATAACCCCGGCGAACAGGAAAACATTGTGATGCGCCTGCACAATTACGAGACTATGGTGGCGTTGAACGTGCTCAGGAAGGGTGGGTCACTGGTGCAGAAAATGTTCACCACATTCGAGTGCGGTTCCGTTTGTAGGATGTACTTGTTATGTACCGTATTCCAGTCGGTAATAGTCAGGAAACCGGCGACCAGTAAACCCGGTAACTCGGAGGTGTACGTGGTATGTACGGGCTACCTGGGCCGAGAGACGGCCTTGCCGTTTATACGGAAGTTTTTCGCGGCAAACGCGTCGATTTCGCCTGGTGTAAGTGATACGATGGCCATGTTCCCGTTGTCCCAAATTCCGAGTGAATTCAGAACCGAATTGCGCCGGTGTTCCGAGTACTATTCGCGGTTGCAAATCGAAACGATCGAGAATAATATCAAAGCGTTGTCGTGCAAAGAGGACAGCTATCGTGAAATAGAAACGCGCCAGTGGTCCGTGTGCATCAATTTCGTGGCCCGGTACGGTTTACGGCCGATCCGGTACAACCAAGAGTTGATGTCGAGCAGCTATAAACCGCCGAAAGTTCGTGTCTATAACTGCAAACGTCGGGGTTGGTCCTACGTAGAGAAGATACGCATGCATCACTTGGCTCCCGAACAGGAGGCTGACATGTTGTACCGGGAAGTGGTAGATAGTGACGAATGGAAAATAATGTACCGCGTCCGTGACGTCTGCTGGGGGTATCGCACACATATTACCGTCAGGCTTTCGGACGTGGAGTATCATCTGGGCAAACCGGTGACCGTGATTAAGGGGTCGAAGTTCTGCAATGAGTCACTAATACACTTCAGGCGGCGAGTGTTGTCAAAATTCCCATCGGTCCCGAGTACGACTAGTGCGGAATCCCGAAGTCTTTATTACCATTCCAAGCTCGATCTGCGGCCGGAAAACACAGCTGTTTGTGACCTGACTGATATATGTGCCGAACACGGTACCAACAACACCGCCGTTCAGCAGTATCATTGTTTGGAATCCATGATGGATGCTTTATGCTGTAAAATTGCCGCCGCCTCTGTCGATAGCTTGCTCCTCATCGGGTATCCGTTGTACACACAAATGTCGGTGGCTTGTTTTTTCGCAGTGACCAGCATGTTTGATAGGTTCGGTCTGATCAAACCCCACAGTCAGTATGGTCACGCAATTGTATTTACCGGGTACAAGAGGCACGATGGCTGGTTGAACGCATTGGCTACCGTTAAAAACCTCTTGCCGCCCGAAGCCAACAACGGTTTGTCGTTGATTTCGTGGGTACCGATCAAGGTATTACTAAAACAAAAGGTTTATGCGGACCTAGTGACGGTCAATAATTTGTGTATTGTTAACGAAATCAAACCCGTTTTATCGTCGTTTTTAGGATATATTTCTTAGCATCTACTGTAATACATTTTTTTTCTTTTGCTCATCAAATTATATCTTGGCTCGTATATTTGAAAGTTATACTTGTCATTCGAGAAAAGAAATGTTCCACACTTTGAAATTGCATTGGGCCTGACACCACATTGGAAGAAAATATTTTATGTTATTCCATGTACAGTTTTATATAATGTACTTAAAATTCAACAAATTTTCTTGTAAATAATTGTGTTAATATTGTTTTTGTGTTTAGAAAAATTAGTTATAATTAAGAAATGAGTGACCAACTCGAGAATGCAGTCTGATTGACCTTCATACATGTACCGAACCATCATTGTTGCCACATGAACAGTATAATTGAATTATCATCGTACTACCGAAAAACCGAAACAACCAAATAGTCGGAATAATCGAATAACTGAATAACTTGGAATGTTATTTTCAAATGGTGCATAATCTAAAGACTAATAATAATATATTAGTGGACAACAATATTTACTAATACCAGCTACTGATCATTGCAGCATATTGCATTGTAACAATGTTATGGCGGTGATTAATACAGTTTTATATTTTTAAAAACCTTTTTCATACGTGCATTTATGTATTGTATATTATAACATATTTTAAATATACTTATAGATTCTGAGCGGAGCGAGGAATGTGTTGATTTTACAATGATGTTTATTTTTTTTTTTTGGTGGACAACTTTTCTACCAGCAATTTGGCTCCGATTTACAGTGATAGTACTTTTTATATAAGGAAATCTGATTAGGGAGGTACTTTAAGAAAGTCATTAAATTTCCCAGGGGTTTTCTCAATAAATTGGAAAAAACAGGAAAATAGGTACAATATTAAACAAATATTATTAAAGAAAATATTTAATGTATATGTGATTATTTTGCCATACAATAACATACATGCATTGATGACAAAGTAACACTATCAACCGAATTCCACTCAAAATTGTTTTTCGTTAGCAATTATTGCTTAGATATATGTAAATATTGAATTAACTATAACAGTGGCAGCACCCATATCCCCATTAACCTAGGACATAATTTTTGTTAAATTGTTAAATAAAAAAAATAAAAACAAATCGAATAATATATTTTTAAAATAAATATTCGTACGACGATTGCTAGTAGATTTAATATCAAATTACAGTGTTCTGTTTTTGAATTTCAATTTGTATCTAGTTTTTTTAGTTAAACAATATCTTGGTATATAATCTTAAATATACGTGCTCATGCAATAATTTGAAATGTAAATAGGAAATTGAAAACTAAAAAAACTCGTGTTTGATCTCCGATTTGATATCGGAATTATGGTAAATTTGACTTTTATTCATGTTTTCTTTTTTATTCACATACCATTAAATATTCATTTATCCATAAAATTTATTTCAGCTACAAATTATTACACGTTATTTATTCGATCGTCAGATTGTCGTACCGCCAAAAACACCGGAAATTTGATTTGTTACGTACCTATCTATAGGTATTGAATATAATATGATGCATAATACTTATTAGCATACTGAAAAAAATTGTTTTGATTTGTACATTATTTTTACTGTACTAAAAACATACAAGTATTATAATACAGAGTTTTTCACCAGTAACGTAACAACAGATTACGATTCCCGTGTGCAGTAATTATAATGGGTACCATCAAGCAGTACTGTATTTACACTTTGCTCTTAGGGCAACAAATTATTGATTAAAAAAAAAAGAACTGATATTGGTGTTGGGTGTTGTCAATGTGGTGTTGTAGGTTAAAAGTCGGGGAGGTAGGATACATTATGTTTGGTATTTAATTTATATCTGTAATAGCAACGATAGACCATAACTAATGAAACACGATTCTGAGTAAAATTTAGTTATAACTACATGTTTTGGAACACCATAGTTTTATGATTTTCGTCAAAATTTGGTCCTAAAACTCATTAAAAAAACGATTTTATTACACTGAAATTTTTTTTTACCACTAATTTCAACTTGCAAAATATCTTGTGTTCAATTGTCATGCATTTCTGTTTCTTCAAACTATTGTAATCACATATTATTTAAGTAGTATAGGTACCTATTAATACTTATTAAATATTTCTATAAATAGCTTAAAAACATCTAGAAAGTAGTATTCTGTGAAAATGTTAGCTTTCTATGATTATTTTTAATCGATTAACAATAAAAAATCAAAATCAAAAATAACAAAATTGTAATGTTGTAAACATTCCTGTATATGCTGTGTTTTTTTTTTTTGGTATTTTCTAATTATAAAAGGTTGGAAAATCAAACACGACTTTTTTAATAATCAATAAGATCTAAAATACAACAGAAAAGATTTCTTGTCATTTTTTGATCAGAGCAAGATTTCTGGTAGAAAACATACCTAATTAGTAAAAATGTATAAAAATAATAAAATCGGTATAGGGCCGCAGCGTGCCGTAAATATTGGCCAGTTTTTTTTATTTTTAAAAATTTCAGGTTTTTCGAAATTATGAAAACCTTTGAAAAATGAAAACATTTTATCGGAGCAAAATCTCTAATAGAAAAGTTGTTTACAAACAGAAAACAAACACATTTCATAATAAAACCAATTCATTCCTCTCTACGTTCAGAATCTAAAAGGCCACTCTGTATGTAGGCCTCAAAGCCTGTGTACGCCGCCCACTGTATACTCGAGTTTAGCGCTGTTCTACGAAGAGTATAGTAGTAACAGTAAAGATGTGTGCACTCTATACACTCAATACAATACGTAGGAACTTTTAACTTTTTTGGAATTTTCATTTTGAAAATTTAAAAACATGCAGCATTGTAGCAGTATGTTGCTTTTAAAATGATACATCACCATTATTTTTATCACCCTTAATTTTGGAGACGATTTGACTGCCTAATTTTGATTTTCAAATGGCAACCTACATTTAAATATCTATATAAGTAGCTCGAAAATGGCTCAAATATTCTGAAAGTTTTACCGCATCTAGAAAAAGCAAATATAAGTTTTCATTCAATTCTGTAAAAAAAAGATCTACGAATATTTTTAACTGAATTATAATAAAAAAAAAAAAAAAAACAAATTTAAAATAAGGAAAGAATTATTTTTGTAGATTTTTTCCTTATTTCTACATATTAAAAGAATTTTCAAATTGTGTTTGTGCGAACTACTTGATTTCGGATTGTATAGATACATGCGGATTATATTTACATTTTGCCAGAAAATAAGTAATTAGAATCCTTTTAGTACCAGACTGTACTTTTCTGAGGGGAAAAAAAATACGAACAGTAAAATACCATAATAACCGAAAATAAATTACCTACTTATGAGCCGTCATTTTATAAACTTGAAATATTGGAATTCGTTTAAACTATAATATTTACATGTATTTACATATTCGTACGCATTAAATTACTAAACCTTACCATGTGCTATATCTTCAAAATTAATTTTTTTTCAGATTCCGAATGTGAATTTAGGAATGTTTCTTTTTCTCGGAACGTTCTTTATGGTAATAAAAATGCGCTGATGTTTTCACCACAATCTTAAAAAATGCGAATTTCTGCATAATAGTACCAATCCACGTTGACTATATAAATAATAAGATACCTATTTAATTTAAGTTTCTATGCATAAGCATGTACTATACCAAGTTATCAAATTTATTCAAAATTGTATGTGGAATTATAGTTTTTTGTTTAAAATACGTTATGAAACCAGGAACTTGGCACTTTTGAAAAGTGGGCTTACCTAACTTATTTAAAAATACAATTTTAAATTATCGGCATAGATTAATATACCTACGTATATATCTTTTGCATATCTTCCGACCCAAGCAGCCTATCAGTCTAAAAAAACTACCGGTCATAGAAGATAATATATCTCCCTACTTTGGTGGCTAGTCTGCCATTGATGAGGTAGGTAGTAGCTAGGGTAACTAGCAGGGGTGTTAGAAGTGTACCCACCTCCAAAGAGGACTCATTAACACAGACGTATCTAAGGGAGAGGGACTGAGGGGGCTTTGCTTTGCTCTCTGTTGAGCATCTCCACTCCCCGATGGATTAGGTAAGGCTTCATCTCCTTTGAAATCCACTCCCCCCCCCCAAAAAAAAATTCATTCAAGGTTTCGATATTTTTCGTTTGAAAATCATGAAAAAAAGTCATAACAGAACACTTTTAGTCCGCCGAAGGTGGATTACCCACTTTTCACCTATATGTTTTTATTCATTACTGACACGGAGAAAATCAAAAAAGAATATGGATATAAAAAAATAGGGATTTAGAATTATAACTTAAAAAAGACGTCCTAGGATAATTGGAACGGGAGCTGCCATAGGTGATTTAATGTATACCTGTAAGCAACGATAAACTTTTGCTTACCAAAAAACGATTCTGAATGGAGTTCAGTTGATAGTGATGTTTTTTCAACAATATATATGCCACATTATAGTAAAATAATTTAATGGGCTCTATATATTTTCTTCAATGATATTTGTTTAATATTTTACCGATTTCCCCGGTTTTCTTTTTAGAAACATTGCTGTCATTAAACATTGAAGCAAAATTGTTGGTAGAAAAGTTGTCCACAGGAAAAAAAAAAGATCCTAATATATTTTAACTAATACCTACATTTTTTACATTTTCCGTTTTTTTCTTTCGGTTTTTTACATTTGTTGAGAAAATTCTCGAGAAAATCGAAAAATAACCTTTCTAAGGTACTTCTCTACACTGGCTTTCTTTCAGAAAAGGTGCTACACGTAAAAATCGAAGTAAGTCCTCTACTAGAAAAGTTGTTTACAGAAAAAATAAAAACTGTAAAACCATAAGCTAATTTAACTTATATTAACTTATAACTTGTTTTATAGAACTTTTCTTTAAATTAAGAGTGTTTATTAACCACTTTAAAGATTTTCTAATCTTTATAATCTTTATAATTTATAAGCTTAACGAATTTTGAAGTCATAAGATTTAGATTTTTTAAACAAATAACAAACCTTTATTTAAATAGATTAAAACAAAACTGATAATGAAAATTAATAATAGTACTTAAGAATAACTACAAATGTATTTTCTTATCTATTACAATATTATTTAGTTAAATGGGGGAAAAATCGGGCTAAGGGTTTCCGCAGTCATCAGTTGCGATGCTCAAACACGTGTATTCTAGTTTCAGAGTATAGATACAGTGTACGAAAATTCTACCAGAAATCTTGCTCCGAAGTATCAGGTATAGCATCTTTTTTGAAAGGGAATTTTCTTGGAGTGGTATTTAAGGAAGACATTTTTGATTTTCCCATAAGTTTTCCCAATTAATGAGAAAAACGGGAAAATTTATTATTTTAATTTTGTTTTTTGTTGTGATTCAGAAATCGTATAATGGGGTAAAAAAAAAAAAAATAATTGAGTAATGTAGAATTTTTTTTAATAATAATTTTATAATAGTAAATTTTGACAAAAACTATCTGTCAATATTAGCAGTATTGCTAAAATACGTTTATTAATAGTAAACGTAAAATACCTACACATAATTCAAAATAAATGTATATCATGTAGTGTCTACGATTCTTCGCTAGGAGCGCTAGTGAATATTAGAAATTGTGCTTACGCTAATTCTATCCACGGTCATATAGTGTATTCTAGTGATATATTATTGACACTATTTTATATATTTATTAAATAATATAGAAAATATCTTTATTACATAAATATTAAAATATACTAACAAATAACGGTTCTTAATAATCCTTACCAGTTTACTAAGTTCTGTTTAGAATTTTTTTTTAATTGCACTCGTTTTTATTTATCGTTGCTTTTGGGTTTTTAATTAAATTATACTATCCTATACATCTATATACTTTGTCAACTTTTCATCAATGCAACTCATGTAGCCCAGTGATGTATTTACCATTTTTTCTGGGGGGCAAATACGAAAAATGTCATTCACAGATACAGATTCATGAAGGGCTAAACTAAGCATCCCTTTCTCCCTCCGGTATGTGTATTACAAATGCTCAACGTCCAAGGGCGTCCGCAGAAATATAAACCGGGCGGGGGCAAAGTCAAAAGTATAAGACTTTTATTTACAACTTACAAGTAATCATGGCTTAAGTATTTAAGCCGTGCAAGTAATAAAACAATTCATATTTAATATTAACTAAAATAATAGGTGGGCCATGGTTCCCACTGATATCCTTCTGCGGACGCCCTTGTCTATCTTACATTTAACATGATAGTTTGTTTTAAATTAAAAAAATTGCTTATAATTAAATAAGAATTATATTTTATTTTATTATTATGTCCCGTTTAATTATTATAATGAAAATTAAATTTTCTAAGGCATCTAAGGCAAACTCGTTTA